TAAGTTTGCCTGGCCCTCACAGCTGTCCTCCTGGGACCTTTGCAGCCTCTGGCAGCTGGGGGTAGATTACTTTGACCACTGCCCTGAGTTGGGCCGCGTTTCCTTGGAGCTGCATATTGAGCGAATCCCTCTCAACACTGAGCAGAAAGCCCTCAAGGTACTGCGGATTTGTGAGCAGCGGCAGATGACTGAACAAGGTGGGTTGGCTGTCCTTGCTCCCCTCAGGGACATGAGGGCACTGAAGCTAAGCCCCACCACACTGGAGAAGGGCTGTCATAGGACTTAAGAGGAACAAAAGAGTAGAGAGGATCCCTTGAAACCTTGAGGAAATAGTACTTTCCTTTCAGAGAAGACCCAACCCACTTGTCACATTTCCTTTACAAGCCCAGCTTGAAGTCAGTACTGAGATTTCCATCCCAGTGAGCCGCTGCTGCCAGCAGAACTGGGCAGGTGGGGAAGTGACGCAGGCTGAAGAAGCTCATGGCTCAGCAGGAGCACTGGGAGGAGCCGAGAGTAGGCAACAGTGCCCCCACTGTGACAACCATGTTACTGCTTCTAGCAAAGGCATTTGCACATTTGGCCATACCACAAAACATGATTTGAGTGGCACATGCCTATAATCCCAGCACTTGAGAGGCTGAGGCAGGAGGATTACTATGAGTGTGAAGCCAGCCTGAATTACAGAGTGAGAGGGCTGGAGAGATGGCTCAGTGGTCTAAAGCACCTACTTGGAACAAGCTCAGCAAAGCACAGGGACTGCGGTTCGATCCCCCAGCACCACATGCCAGCCAGCCCTGCCCCCAGGTGGGCTGAGCTGGCCACACACACACACACACACACACACACACACACAGTAAATAATAAAATTTAAAAAAAAAATGAATTACAGAGTGAGACCCTGTCTCAAATAAGACACTGAGACGCAAAGGAAGGTAGCCTTTGAGAATAATGGAGACTGGTATGTGGGAAGAAAGCAAGCAGACCCCTTCAGAAAGCTAACCATTGGCAAGGGTGGTTCATTCTACTGCTCACAGAGATGACACCATTAGTGAACTCCAAAGTTTCTAGTGCTGTTGGCCTGCCTGTGCTTAAGGCCAGGAGCACCTCTGGGTTGCAATGAGCCTGTGAGAAAGGCATCCCTGTCAACACTGTGCTCCCAAGGGGAGTGACAGTGGCTGAGAGGCTTTCCATTCTGTCTCTGCCCGGAAAGTCCGCAGCATCTGTAAGATCCTGGCCATGAAGGCTGTCCGTAACAATCGCCTGGGCTCTGCCCTGTCTTGGAGCATTCGTGCCAAAGATGCAGCCTTTGCCACGCTGGTTTCAGACAGGTGAGTGCAGCTGGCGATGGCTCGGGGTCGCATGGGAGGCTGGAGGTCAGGAGCAGAACTGGGACTGCTTTCTGATTTCCTCCGGGCTGGGTTCTGCAGGTTCCTCAGGGATTACTGTGAGCGAGGCTGCTTTTCTGACTTGGATCTCATTGATAATCTGGGGCCAGCCATGATGCTTAGTGATCGGTTGACATTCCTGGGTGAGTTCTGTCCCTTGGGGAACCGTGGACCACTGTAGAGACTGGGAGCCTTATTCTACATAGGTGTGTTCCCTTAGGGATCCTGTGTGCCAGACTGCAGAGTTTTGGGTTTTTTTTTTTTTGGGAGGGGAGGCACCGAAGAGCGAACTCAGGACCTTGTGTTTGCCAGGCAGGCCCTTAAATTGTGTAACTATCTCCCCCGTCCTCCAGACTATGAGTCCTGGTCTGTAATTCAGGCTGACCTTGATCTCATGGTAATCCTCATGCCTCAGGCTCCGAAGTGGTAGAATTTGGTAATGTTTTATTTTCCAATAATTTCAAGCTTGGAGAAAACTTATAAAAGTAGCATAAGAAGGGCCGGGGAGATGGCTCAATAGAATAAGCACTTCCCCGGCAAGCACAAGAGCCTGAGTTCAATCTCCAGTTCTGCAAAAAATAAATAAGGGGCTGGAGAGATGGCTCAGTAGAATAAGTGCTTCCCTGGCAAGTGCAAGGATCTGAGTTCAATCCCTGGTTCCAATAAATAAATAAATAAATGCATGCATGCATGCATAAGATAAAAGGACCTCTTATATACACTTTTCATATATTTACCAGTAATTTCTATTCTTCCTTATTTATCTTCTCTGTTGACCCATTAGTCTTTTGGGAATGGTTTGAGATTAAGTTGGAGATATTGTGCCTAGTTTTCAGGTTGTATTTTAGTCTATAAATGTTAGCAAAAGGAAGAGATTGATCATTGGCTGGGAATGGTGGTGCACACCTATAACCCCAGCATTCCAGAGGCTGAGGCAGGAGGATCAATGTGAGTTTGAGGCCAACCTGGACTACAGAGCAAGATCCTATCTCAAAATGAAACATAGTGTCTTTGTGTTCTGTGGTCCAGCCCCTCCCTCTTTGGTGCTAGGTGTCACACACAGGAAATACTTCCTATGTATTTCTACCACTAAGCTATACCCCCATTTCTTTGTCCTCAATGGCGAACCAAGGCCCTTTACATTGAGCTACATCCTCAGCCTTTTTTTAGTATCAAGGATATTCGATACTGAACTCCGGGCCTTATGCTTGCCAGGCAGGCACTGAGGCTGAGCTATCTCCCCAGCCCAGCCCTCTTTGTTTTTTAGGTAGGATCTTAGGTCTCTAAGTAGTCCAAGCTTTTCCATCTCCCTGCTCCAGCCTCCCAGAATGCTGGCATTACTAGTGTGTATACCATCTCTCATTTCCAGCCCTTCTTGTACTTTTTGATTTTTTTTTTTTTCTGGTACCAGGGATCAAACTCGGGACTTTGTGCTTGCCAGGGAAGAGCTTATTCCACTGAGGCATCTCCCCAACCCCTCCTCATACTTTTTTGAAACGGGTCTTGCTAAGTTACCCAGGTTGAGCTCAAAACCAAAATGCCTCTTGCCTTATCTCCCCAGAGTATGGGCTTAGAGACATGTGCAGCATGCCTGTACCCCTTCTTTTTGGGGGGTTGGGGTGATCTTTGTGGGTGTCATCAGGGAGCCACTTAGGGGATGCAGGGTGATGTGCTCCTTCCCCTAATAGGAAAGTACCGTGAGTTCCACCGACTGTACGGGGAGAAGCGATTCAGTGAAGCCTCGTCTCTTCTGCTGTCCCTGATGACCTCTCAGATTGCACCCCGCTCCTTCTGGATGACTCTGCTCACAGATGCCCTTCCTCTTTTGGAACAGAAACAGGTTAAGGCTTGAGTCCAAGGGGATTTTCTTGTCTACGTTTTTGTAGCTCTCAAGAATTTGGTCTGTGTCTATTGTGGACAGTGTTTCCAAGTAATTCTGAATGGGAACTTGTCTTCTTCCATTGTATCTGTGCTCCAAATCCAGTGTTACACCAGAGAAGTGGAAATACCACAGCTGTCTGGTGCCAGTAGTCATCCTAGGGCCTAGGGCTGGACAGGACAGTAGGACGCTGCTCCCCACATCAGGGCTCCACATGCAGCGGCCTCCTCCATCACACAGGATGAAGACCTCTTCTGACCCTAGGCCCATGCCAGTACCAGCACAGACCTTGGCTGGGGAACAGCTAAGCAAAGCAGCCTCTCTCTCTCTTCTCTAGGTGATCTTTTCGGCAGAACAGACATATGAACTGATGCGATGCCTGGAGGACTTGACTTCAAGGAGGCTGGAGTGTGGAGAGCCTGATGCCCAGAAACCCCAGGTCATTTTAGCTTCCTCATTGATGGTTCCATGGTTGGGGCGGGGGGAGGTTCACTGTCTGGCTTCCTGTACCACCTGTGCTCCTGAAATACTCTGTCCACACAGGAACTCATAGGCCTTAGTGCTTCTAGTTGTGCTATGCCAACTTTCAGAACCAAGTGGGTGGCTGTCTTCTGGTCCCTTTAGTTTTTCTGATTGGCTGCAGTGGCCCTTTGCATATGAGAACAGGAGTGTTACATACCCTGTTCTTTGTGGTAGGTGCTGCCTGCTGTTCCTCACATCAGCTCTGCTTTTTAGGAGGATGATATAGAGACCACCAAGGTGGAGATGCTGAGACTTGCTCTGGCCAGGAATCTCGCGCGGGCAATTATAAAAGAAGGCTCACTGGAAGGTTCCTGAGGTCAGCTGAGAGCTCCTGCAGTGCGGTAACTTTGTATGGCAATGTAAAATAGCTTTTTAAAAGAATAAATGTTCTCTTTGGCAAATACAGTTCAGCCAAAGTTTTTATCCTCTGTCTATTCTGAGTCTAAGATGGCAAAAATGAGTATGTTTTGTGAGATGGTTCCTGCTATATTGCCCAAGGTGGCCCCAACCTTTTTTTTTTTTTGGCGGAACCAGGGATTGAACTCTGGCCCTTGTGCTTGCCAGGGAAGCACTTATTCTACTGAGCCATCCCCGGCCCCAACTCATCTTGAGTTCAAGGGATCCTTCTCCCTCAGTCTCCTGAATAGTCAGGACTACTAGCCTGGAACTTTGTGCTTGACTTTAATGAGCAACTTTTCCCTGGTCTTTAAGAGAACCTACCCCAAGGTAAGAATGGGGACTATAGTGTCCTGCTTGTAACTGGGAATGTGAACAAGAGTGAGTCCTTTGTAGTTTACTTAGGTTTGAGATCTTATTTTCACCCAGAATCACTTGCAACTTTTTTTTTTTTTTTTTTTTTTTTTGGTGGAACCGGGGATTGAACTCAGGCCTTTGTGCTTGCCAGAGAAGCACTTATTCCACTGAGCCATCTTCCCGGCCCCAACATTATCTTTTTTTTTTTGGTTCCTCGAATGCCTTCAGGGCACTTTTGGCCAGCGGGAGAGGTGTGAGGTTCGAACTCCAGCAACCTGAGGCTGACAGCTTTGTGGAAGCAGCCACTTAAAGGCCTGAGCTAGGGCCAGGCCCCCCAAAATTATCTTTTTTTATCGTAGGGTATATATTTGGTGGAACTGGGGATTGAACTCAGGCGCTTATTCTACTGAGCTATCTCCCCAGCCCCTCTTTTTTATCCTAAAAGGCTCCAACAATCTGTACGTCTAGCCACCCCACCATAGGTGTTGACTTTACCTTGGGGTGAATGGTGTCTATTATAAGGATTCCAACTAGGGTAAAAATAGTTTTATTTAACATGCAGCAAAACAAGGGCAGCAGAGTCAGTACATCTAGTACAGCTGTTTGCCACAAAGCAGGGATCTCAATAGTAGGAGTAACACTGATAACTAATTTTAATGTCTAAAGCTTATTAAGGTACTTTTCCACACAGTAATCTGTTAGGTATTCCCAGAGCTGCAGAGCTGCAGCAGCTGGTCTCTGGAAAGCTCTTGGATTTATTCTTTAATAGTGAAAACCCTTCACTTTTGATCTGTCTTGATGAAGCAGTGAAACCTGCTCACTAAAGGCAGTGAGGGGAAGAGGAAGGCGAGATGACCTCTGGATAGAGCAAGAAAACCTGGGAAGGAGCAGGATGGCTGGGGACTCTGGCTTATCACCCTCCTTTTCCCAAGGCGCTGGCTAATTGAGCCTGTCCACATGCCCATCCCCAGCTTCTGTGGCAGTGGGCAGTTCCATTTACTGTTGCCTGTCAGTCTCAGGGTGCCTTGTCCAGGGCAGCCGGGACAAGTACTGTTGGAACAACAGGGTGTGGGAGCTTGGTTCAAGCACAGCTACTCTCCCACCTCATCACCTCCAGGCCAAATGACCGGCAGTACCCCTCTGTAGCTGGGGGACAGTGGGGATTTCCATGCAGCACGAAGGGACATAATTCTAGTGCAGTGTGCTTGACCCTGAGGCCTCCCAGGCCCAACCAGGAGGGCCATACTGCACACATCTCGCAGGAGGAGGCCAAAGAATGCTGGGAGTTGTCCTTCCTCTCAGATGCTAGGGGAAGGAGAACAGTGGGTTTCATGCCAAGCAGGAGGTAGTGAATAGGGTGGCCCATCTGCACAGAGGAGGCACGCGTTTCCCAAAGAGCTTCCAGCCCTTGCTTCTCTGAAAGGTAAAAACTGGTTCATCTTCCTTTTTTTTTTTTGGCGGAACCAGGGATTGAACTCAGGCCCGAGAAGCACTTATTCCACTGAGCCATCTCCCCAGCCCCTCATCTTCCTTTTCTATTGCTGCTTGTTGCTGTTATGAAGCCAGGTTGTTCCTGATAGGCTGAGTTCTACATCCAGCTGAGATGTCCACAAGACACAGTTCATCACTGCCCACAGGGACAAGTGCAGAACTCATTTGGTAGCCACCCCAGAGTGCTGCTGCCCACAGACTCAACCCACTTTGGGTCCCTGGCTTTGCCCACCTCCGTGGAGGTGGCACCAGAACCTGCCAGTTGGGGTAGCACAGGCTGGCAATGGGCTGCAGCCTCAAACTATGCCTGTGTGAGGACTCAGTTCGAGCAGGGACCCAAGACTTTCCTCTCTTTGGCCTCCTCCCCTAGGCACCAGGGACACAGACACAGGGAAAAACCTGTTCCAGGGATGGGGTCTGCTGTCCCAGTATAGCAGTACAGACAGGGGCTGCTCCACCCCTGACAGTATATGGCCACTTCAAGTCACACAGGTAGATAAAAACAGGTCCTTTTAGGGGCCCACAGAGGAGATTATCACAGCAGCGGGATGGCTCCCAATGAAGTGCCCTGGGCCCCTGGTCCATGTCAAAGCTACAAGTGCTGCTGTCGGGACGCTGAGTGATTAGACTGGATCCCTGTCCATTTTGGGGCAGCCTGCTTGGCTTAAAAGTGGAGATCACCGCTGCTTTTGGGGTCATAGGTTCCCCCACTGCTCCACAGGAGGGAACTGGTCCACCTCGCCCACCTCTGTGCTCAGCTGCTCCCCAAGAACAAAGGTCAGCTTATACCGCAGCCGCACCTTCTCCTGTGACAGAAGACAGCAGGTGAGCAAGATCCAGGCCATGTAGCTCTCCCTGCGGTCCTCGTGGCCCCGTGCATCCTTGTTCCCACCACACCCACCCATACTTGGGCACCTAACTTGGGGCAGCAGAGAGGTGGTGCAGCAACTGCAGGCTGGAGGCCTGCAACTTCCCTTACCTCACCTAATTTGTGTGTGTGTGTGTGTGTGTGTGTGGCCAGCCCAGCCCACCAGGGGGCGGGGCTGGCTGGCATGTGGTGCTGGGGGATTGAACCACGGTCCCTGTGCTTTGCTTAGCTTGTTCTAGGTAGGTGCTTTAGACCACTGAGCCATCTCACCAGCCCCGACCTCACCTAATCTGAGGCAGCCGGGACCCGCACTCTCCTCTGCTTACCTTCATTGGGTTGGCCAGCAGCATGACCTGGGTGATGGCTGCAGGTGGCTGGATGGGACTGAATGGAGAGAGTTCTGTCCCAGATGGTGGCTGTAGCTTCACTTTCATTGACTAAAAGATAAAGACAAGAAAAGTGAAGAGAGCTGGCCTATGCCCTGAAGAGGAAATGGGTCTGGTCATAGTAGATATGTACGTGTACACTGCCATCTGCTGGCCACTGAAAGGCCCTCCAAGCAGTGGCTCCAAGATAAAGGCAGTTTTGGCTTCTGGAGGCCCAGGAAGCCGGCAGGCAATACCTTGGGCACTGCAGCTTGTAGCACAATGCTCTTGACTGGCAAGGGAGCTGTGTTCAGCATGGACACCACCACCACCAGTACATCAGGCCGTCCTGGTGGACACTCCTTGGCAAAGTGGAAGAGGATACGGAAGCCATTTTTATCATACGCTGTCACAGGAAGGGCACTGCCTGCAAGAAGGGGCATGAATTTGGTAAGAGGAAAGTGCTGGATCCAGCAGAGCCCTGGCAGTATGCACTGTAGCTAAGTAGGGAAAAGAAGGAGATGTGTGGGAGTAATTACAATGTTCTCTTAATGGAGCCATCTAAAGGCCCTCTGATGGGAGTCTCAGGCCACACTCGCCTGCAACAAGCACAGGCTGAAACACCAGGGTAGTGAACACCCTGGGACCTCTGCACAGAACACCCACACCCACCCACCATGTGGCCTATGATGCTAGGCCTACTTCCCTTCCCACCTTCAACACCTACTAGGCTTGATGGATTCCAGGGGCACGTGGACACTGGCCAGGGAGAGCTCGGGCCCCTTCATGGGGCTGCCCTGGGACTGGAAGGCCGGCGACTGGAAAAGAGGGCTGCTGGGTCCAGTGGAAATGGGCAGGAGAGGCCTGGCAGGAACGGAGGTGGGGAGCAGGGGAGAAGTGGTGGCCCCAGAGGAAAAGCAAGAAACAGGTTTCACTAAGCCTGAGGTCCTGGGAGGCAGGAAGGACAGAGGGAAATCAGTACAGGCCATAACTGCTGAGCCAACCCCTTGCCAAGGTGCCCAGGCCAGAGATGGCTTGTAGCCACCCACAGTCCCAGCTTCCAGACCGACTGACGGAACCCAAAGTTCCGCAGTCCCAAAGCTATTACCCTCCCCTTTCCCCCCTCATTACACTTTGGCCTCTTCTAGAAGCTGATCAAGGGCATCCAGGTGGTTCAGGGTGCTGTCACCCAGTGCTGAGTTGTGGAACTCAGGGGCTGCATGCTCAGCCTTTGCGGCCAAAGCTGGGGCAAGTCCGGAGGCGAACATGAAGGAGACTGCGCTGGGGCCAGGTGTGCTGGCTGGGACCACAGGGGCTGGGAAGCCAGATGGCAGTGGAGCTTGGAACTTGCTTGATGGGAGAGCTGAAGGTGGGAGCAAGGGCCCCTCCGAGGAGCAGGGAGCAGGCCCCACCCTGGGGCTGAAGAAGTCCACGCTGGATTGTTCACTCTGCACATGCACAGTGGAAAGAGTGGTGAGCAGAGGGCTGCTGGCAATGGCCTACTACACTCCGTCTGTCTCCCTGTGGGTGCTTGAGGGGGCCTGACAAAACCTGGAAACTAGCTGCTTCCAAGGACAGGGCCAGAGAAACGCCCCTGGGGGCAGCACGTGGCAGTGGAAAATGCTCTGGAGGGGAACACAGCCAAGCACCCATCAGGAAAGAGATGCTGGTGAATGAAGGCTCCGGGCCAGCACTTCACCTTTGCTCCACACCAGACTGTGTCCATACCTGCAACAGGTGCCACTGGCTACTTCCAGCTGACTCTTTGGGAAGAGTAGTGGGGGCTGGGTCAGAGAGTCCTGAGAATAGAGAAGAAAACTCAGTAAAAAGAGGCTTGGCCCCAGCTCACCAGAGGAAGAGACAAGGACAAGAGACAGTGTAAGGAGGTGAGAAGGTGTTCTCTTAGTAGCTGCTAGAGGAAAGGGATCCCCTTCCAATCTTACAGGGAAGCTTGAAGAGTTTCCCAGTGAACATGAGCAGAGCAAGATCCACAGGCTGCCATACCACCCCGAGACCAGAAGGACACACTTAACTGATAAGCATATTAGAGACCCCTCAGGCTTCCTGACTTTGGTCTTCCCTCCCCTCAGGCCACCCTAGGAGGAGCTGCCTTCAGCTGCACTCCAAGACGTACCTAAGCAAAGCAGCTCTTCGTCCAGCAGAGAGAGTGTGTTGCTTGTGCTACTGGGTGCTGGGGGGGCCTCAGCCTGGCTGGAGGAGCGGCTACGTGGAGGTCCGGAGGTCTGGGGAGGTGGAGGGAGGATAGGAATGCCTGAAGAGGGCGCGGTAGGTGCTGGGGGCAACACTGGGGGTGAACTGTTGGGTGTGTCCAACTCTGCAAGGTCGATGAGAGTGCCTTGATTACTGGAGTAGCTGTTTCCTGGATGGGTCACAGAAGAGGAAGGGAATAGTCAGGGGCCATTCCCATGGCTGCAGCAGGAGACAGGACCCTGGGCAATGCCCCCAGGGCTCTTCCACTGGGGCTCTAGCCTCTGGCTCCATTCAGTGGCATTTCTTCTAGAGGACACTGAAAAGTAAACTAGAGGAGACAGGCAGGGAAACCACCATCCCTATTTCCCAGCCTGAGGGAGCTGGAGGCCCCCTAGGAGTAGCTTAAGAGTCCCCTCAGGCCCTTTGGGCTATCGTGGTCAACCTGTACCCAGTGGACAGCAGAGGGTCCTGGAACACGTTACCTTCAGAATCAGGCATGGTTGAGGTAGTCTCCTCCCCGTTGATGACCTGCCCTTCAATAATAGTTTTATAAGAATTGATGACCCGGGAGAGGTTGTCACTGGCCTGCAGGATGTCCCCTACAGTAGGAGAGAGAACCCTTGTTCCTGACTATGACATCATATCAAACTCCTGAATCATCCACGCCAAACACCCTTTCACTCACCCAAACTATTGTCATTGTCTTCTGTCTCACTGGCTAGTTTAAATAATGTCCGTCTCTTGTTCTCACACCGATCAAACAATTCCTGAGAGAGACCCAGAAGTGAAAGTCGTAAGAAGCTCTCAATTCCTGATTCAGTGGCATGCTCAGGAAGTGGCTGGGCTCTGTTAAGTACCATGGACAGTTACCAGCGGGGCTACGACCAGAGAACACAGCCTCCTGCCAGCCTCCACCAAACCAAGCCGTCTGTTGACAGTGAGTCACTCTGCTCAGATGGCAGAGAGGAAGAAAGCCCCTTCCTGCCTCCCAGGTGGACATGTGCCTTAGAACTCAGGATATCTATCCAGTTACAGGCTGGGCCTTCCAACACTAGCAGCAGGGTGCCAAGGAAAGTTGTCCCCAAGACAGAAGAGGCAGAGAGCTGGTGAACACTGAAGGTGGTATCTGGAGACAGATAAGGGTTCTCTGGGCCATGTTAGCTGGTTGTCACACAGAGACAGGTACTACCTTCCAGTCCCCTGCTCCTGCACTGATGAACAAGCTCACACAGAGCAAGTGCGCTGGCAGGCAGGTACTCTGTCAGAGCAGGTGGCACTGTGGTACTCTCGGCTGGCAGCACCTACCTTCATGAGCTCTTTGTCTGCCTCCGAAGAGTGCTCTTGGCTGTAGTGAAGCAGCATCTCATGGAGCAGCTTCACGTTGTTGTTGACCTCCTCCAGGGTGTGCACGCGCTTGGTGACCTTCTGGATTCGTGCCTCATCCTGTCTCAGCCAAGAGGATCCAGGAGAGAGAGCTCACCTAGTTGGTTCCCACACCGGTAGGGGTGCAGGGGAGGCCACTTGCCAACAGCAAGAGCAGAGGTGAAGCCCAGAACTCTGCTCAGTGCACACTTTCTGGGACCACGGGTCTTGGACCCAACCCACAGCTCTTGTTAACAGTGATACTTCCCACTTGCCCTTTTTCCCCACCTCTCTTCCACTCACACCATGGGAAGCTGTGGTAGGGAAACCAAGGCAGGGCTAACACCCCAGGGGACAGACTAATGCTCTATAGTCACAAGCTCCTCTATCCTATGCCCGGAGGACTGCGGTCCACTCACTTCCTTCACCATAGACTTGATGAGCTTGTTGGCTTCTTGCAGGTCATCTGGGTTTTTGCTCTTCAGCAGTCTGGCTAAAAGCTGGAAGAGAAAGATACTAAAAAGGAAAGAAAGGACAGTACCATCCCTACCTAACCTGAGGCCACAAAGCAACTTGGGTTCCTTGCAGTGTCAAATAAAAGGCTATCTCTTCCTGTTGCCATCCCCACTCAACCCAGGCCCAGCATATACTTTACCTTGGATTTTTCCTCATCGTCAAAAACAGGGTTTTTGGGACGAGCTGGTGGAGAGGGGATCAGTGTCCTGTCCACTGGGATTGGTGGGTCAGACTGCACTATGCCTGAAAGGGGACACAAGCGGCAGAGCGTGTGCTCAGGCTACGGTCACCTTGTTCCCCCTCCTCACACCAAGGGCCACATCACTGCGATCAAGACCTGTAAGGGGGAGCAGGAGACAGGGCAGGCTGCTCACACCTCATCCCACCACAACTCCAGCTGAGCCCTGCCCTGGCAACAAACACCAACTTCAGGAGGAGAATGGAGGAAGTCTGGGGATCCCCCAAACTGCCCTTTTCTTGCTGGCCTTGGCAGCAAGACCCTTCAAGGGCTCCCTGAGCCTGCAAAAGGCGGACACTTACCCTGTCTCTTTAACATGTGATAAGCATCTTTGATCTTTGCTTCTTCTGGCAGGGCCACTGTCCAACTATACAGCAGCTCAATGACCTTGGTCTTCACTTTCTCAGATACCCTGTCCCCCAGGTACTAGGAGGCAAAAGGAAATGGGTGAACCTAGGAACTGCACTTACAGCAGTGACAGGGTTGCTTGTTACTGTCCTAAGCCTACACAAACCCAGCAGAGGTGAACTTAGGTGAGACAGCAGGGAGGTGAAGCATTTCCCATTTGGACACAGTCTGTGGTTAGGAAGAGCCCAAGAGCTCCCTGCAACTAACTGCAGTTTATCCCGAAGGACTCCATGAGAATGCCATGAGTGAAGAAACTGTTTCCTCTGCTTTGAATGTGAACCCAGAGATCAGTGACAGAGCCTGAGCAGCAGAGCCACCAAGCAAGGAGGACAGCTGGCTCCTCAGATCCATGGAAGATGGACATAACACCCACAACTGTTGTGTGCAAGGAGCCTAGAATCCTCACTGCACATGGCCTCCTCCAGTATGCACACAGCTGCCACCACTGTGCCACTGGCCACGTTTAGGTGGCCCCAGGCCCTGCACAGCCATCCAACTACCTTCAGGGACCAGCTCTCCAGGACATCAGGGTCAGCCCCATGGGAATGCTGGGTGAGCACAGAAAGTCAATAAAATGGGATACAAGAAAAGTCTTGGAAGGAGGGAAACTGACACTGACTGACCTTTGGAGAGACGACTTTGATTAACTCATTCAGAAACCGGAACTTCCCCACTTCGTTATGAAATCTCCTCCCACAGTTCTTCATGCCTGCCTCCAGGACCTGCAGCCACATGGAGAGGCGCTCAGTGCGAGACTGGCACCAGCAAGAACCCAGAAATACTCAATAGGTGAAAGAGTCCATCGTGAGAAGTGGGTCCTCTGCCCCATGGACAGCACAGCTAAGTCATAGGGTCACTTGTCATCCATACCCCAAATGGTACAGCTCTGCTGAGGACACAAAGCTGAGACCCAGACATCAAGGTCTAGAAGGTGCCTTCCTTAAAGTCACTATCCTTGTATTTTACACATGAGGAATGAGGTCCAGGGTCATAAAGTTTCTCTGACTCAGGGTCCAGAGTTCTTTCCACAGGCTGACTAATCAACATTTGCAGGTGGGAGACAATCTTTAAAGTCTACCATCTTTAGTTTAAACAACGGGATATCTCCCCTCCCTGACCTCTGTGGTTTTATGAGTTCTGTGGTGCCTTTGCCCTCAGGCCTGCCTGATTTAACACAGAGGATATCAAGGACCTTCTGCCAGTCTTTGGGCACCAAAACCTGAGGGGTGTGTGAGGATCACCCCAGGTGGGTGGGGGAGCCACTGTGGGTAAAGCCCTACCGTCAGGGCCTGCACTGCCTCCCATTCCTGTGGAGACTGGATCTTGTGGGCCAGCAGTCGGACAGCAATCTGGGGCCTGGGGACAGGAAACTACAGTCAGCACACCAATGTGGGGCCATATGGCCAGTGTTCCTTGGCCAACTTTTGGCTTTTCCGGACAGTTATCTCCTGCTCCTAACAATACTGAGACTTACCCTTCAAGCTCCTTGTTGATCTGATCACAAAAGCCAATTATGTATTCCCAGTCTTCTTGGCGATTAGAAGGATTGGTGGCTTTATCTTGGGACAGAACAAAGAGAAAGACAGTTGTTATGAAGAGCAACAGAATGTTTTCGGCACCAAAAGTTTGCTCCTGAGTTTCTTGTTTCATACAGAAGTCTCAATAGTTTAGTCAGAGCTGTGTGTAGTGGCACACACCCATAGTCTCGGCATTCAGGAGGCCAAGGTGGGGGGAGCAGCATGAGTTTGAGGCCAGACTGGACGACACAGCACAACTATGTCTCAGAAAGCCAAAATAAAAGTTCAGCCCGCAGTAAATGTAAATCCTGCTTTCCGCTTTTTTTTTTTTTTTTTTTTTTGGTAGTAGAACCAGGGATTGAACTCAGGCCCTTGTGCGTGCCAGGGAAGCGCTTATTCCACTGAACCATCTCCCCGGCCCTAAAGAATAGAACTTTTTTTTTGGCAGAACTAGGGATTGAACTTGGGCCCTTGCACTTGCCAGGCAAGCGCTTATTCTACTGAGCTACCTCCCCGGCCCCTTCTGCTATCTTGGAAGTCACAAATGTATCCTGTTCTCAAAATAGAAAATACAAATTACTAAAATAATCACAAATAAATGCCTTTACAAAATATGCATTTATAATAATTATAGAGAACAACATAAAAATGAGCTAAGTGTTCAGGAAGTACACTTAACAGGGTTTTTTGTTGGTTCCTCTCCCCCTCAGTACTGAACACTTACCTGAACTCAAGGCCTTCACAAGGAACCATATACCCAGCCTAGCATTTAAAAAAATTTTTTTCTTTTTTTGTATTTCAGGGAAGGGTCTACAGGGTATTCAGGGTCTCAATACTAGATTGGACTCGTAGTGATCCACCTGTTTACAGCCTCCCAAGAGCTGGGATTACAGCCACCAAACCCTGTCTCAATTGCCATCTCAGCATGCCCCAGGGGCAGGGGCTGCACAGCAGGCCCAGGTATTTGAACCCCTGGCCCCTGCACCTGCTTGCAGACCCTTTAAACCGCTGAGCCATTTAGCCACCCCCCCATTTTTTTTTTTTTTAATTTTTTATTTATTTGTGTGTGTGTGTGTGTGGCCAGCTCAGCCCACCAGGGGGCGGGGCTGGCTGGCATGTGGTGCTGGGGGATTGAACTGCGGTCCCTTTGCTTTGCTGAGTTTGTTCTAAGTAGGTGCTTTAGACCACTGAGCCATCTCACCAGCCCCACCCCCTTTTTTTTTGTGGAACCGGGGATTGAACTCAGGCCCTTGAGCTTGCCAGGTAAGTGCTTATTCCACTGAGCCATCTCCCGCCCCCCCCCCTTTTTAATTTTCAAGGCAGTGTTTTGCTAAGTTGTCTAGCAGTTTCCTTTCTCAGTCTCTAGAGGGTTGGGATTACAAGCATGCATCCGCCACCACAGAAAATTAGTGTTTTCTATACATCCTTCAAAAAGATTTCCCAAGACTTCATCTTGTTACTTTGAAGGTTTTTGAAATTGCACACAGTAACGCTCATGACTGTTGAGCCTACAACAATCACTCATGACCCTGTCAAGAACCGGGCACTCTGCAGCCTACTCTCAGGGCCACACAAACAGGATAAAGAGAAACACTAGAGAGGTCTCAGACCCTGAAGGCCTTAAAATCCTGCCATTAAATACAAGCTCAGTAATACTTGGTTTGTGTCTCCTCCCTGTCTGTGTCCCCTCCCCCCATGGCCCAGCTGAGGGAGGTTAAATGGGTGGGCATCCCTGACTCAGATCCGGAGTCTGCCTCTTTCAGGAAGCTCACACTGTCTGCTCAATTTAGGGCTCAGGGTCAGAAGACAAACGGAAGACACACACACATCCTCTTAAAACACCCTGGCTTCTGAGAAGGAGAAAGCCCTTCTCACAGGAGATGCTGTTAAGTTCTGAACTCCGGTGATGGCACGTGTGTTCTTTCCTTGCTCTGTGTGTTGTGTGTGTGGTACAGGGAAGGGACTCAACCAGCGCCTTGCACATGCTGCACAAGTGCTTCAGCACTGAGTTACATCTCCAGCCTCTGGCTCTGGCTCTGGCTCTGTCTCTGTGTCTCTGTCTGTCTGTCTCTCTCTCTTTTAGAGATAAGATCTAGCTATGCAGTTCAGGTTGGCCTTGAGCTCACTTTGTAACCCAGGCTGGTCTCAAACTCCCAGTGATCCTCCTGCCTTGGATTCCAGCGTGCTGGGATTCTAGGTATGTGCCACCTCCTAGCCCTCTTGTGAGACAGGGTCTTGGTATGTAGTTCAGGCCAGGCTTGAACTCATGAAAATCCTGCCTCAGTCTCCCAAGTGCTGGGATTATAGCTGCATTACCATACCCAGCAACAACCTTCTTTTATTTTGAGATGACAGTGGTGAACTGACGAGACTGGGCTTAAACTTGCAATTGTCCTGCCTCAGTCTGGGTAACTGGAATTACAGGTGAGCACTATCACACCTCTGGGTTCCTTCTTTCCTGTGAGAAACATCTCAGAGGATAGGATTCTGACAGCTCACACAATCCTAACACATCCTGTGAGACAGGGTCTTCCTGTGTAGTGCAGGCTGCCCTTGAACTCACTTATGTACCCCAGGCTGGCCTCAGCCTCACAGCAATTCTCCTGCCTCAGCCTCCTGAGTGTTGGGATTACAAATGTGTGCCACCACACCTGACTGGATTTTTTTTTTTTAATTTTATTTATTTGTGTGTGTGTGTGTGTGTGTGTGTGTGTGTGTGTGTGTGTGTGTGGCCAGCTCAGCCCACCAGGGGACGGGGCGGGCTGGCTGGCATGTGGTGCTGGGGGATTGAACCGCGGTCCCTGTGCTTTGCTAAGCTTGTTCTAAGTAGGTGCTTTCGACCACTGAGCCATCTCACCAGCCCCATGACTGGATATTACCTTTAACAATTACCAGGTGAGCCAGGATGCTGGCACATGCCTGTGGTACCATTTACTCAGGAGTGAGGCGTGAGGATTTCAGATTTAAGCCATCCTGGGCAACTCAAGGAGACTCTGTTTCAAAAAGGGTTGGAGGTGTAGTCCAGTGCCAGAGTGCCTGCTTGGCATGTTTGAGGCCTAGGGCTCAATCCCCAGCACATGAGGGGGACAAGGGACATACCTGGTGACTGAATTCTAGCAGGGACTCCAGGTGATCCACTGGGCACACAGTTCCCAGGCTCTGGGCAGAGGCTTCCCCTTGTTGGGGCTGGGCCTGCCTAGCAGCATGTCCCTTCTGGCCACAAAGGCAGATTCTGTCGGCTACAATTTGTACTTAGAGGAAAACAAGGTGGATGTTCTTAATCTTGGAAGAGAATTTGCAGACCCTTCAAAGTGTCTTGAGTTTGAAGGGAAGTTATTAACTCAATGTTGGCCACTTAGAAAGACATGTCTGGTAGTTCAGCACTGACGCCACAGCCACCCTAGCAGAGCCTTCTCAAAAACCCCAAGGCCCTCCCACCCTTACCTGAAATGTTCTCAGGTGTTAGCCTGGGTGTGTTACTAATCCTATCCTCTGAGATGTTCCAGATTTTCACATGACTCCAAGCAGCAGCAAGATTCAAAAATTATTCTGAAGAGCCATATCCACATATAATGCTTTTAGCCATCTGGGAAGTCACAAAGCTCAAGGGAGAAGAAAGATTAGCCCACTGTCTACCCCAGATCTCAGTGGGAAGAGTGGCTTCCAACAACAGTAAAATGTAAATCCCTGGCCCTATAACCAATTTAATCTCCCCAGGCCCGTTCCACTTCGTAAAACACCACCACCTCTAAAGTATTCTTGCCTGTTTTTTATTCCTTTTTCTTTTCTTTTTTATTAATTTTATTGAGAAAGAAACAGTAATGAGATAGTTTCAAAACAGGTTAGTAGGACAGTTACAATAATTAATACATTGCATATCGTTGTCTTCTTAGTAATGTTTTTTTATTCCTGTAGAATTCTGGGACTTCCACAGAATTTTCTACCACATATCTGCAGGGATTGCTCTGGCTACACATGGCACAAAAGCCCTGGTCTGAGCTAAGTTAGGGCTACTTCTCCACATCTGCTGCAGCTCTCTGACAGCTCAGAAGACGCACCTGTAACCTGCAGGAGCTGGGAGAAACTACTGGAGAGGCTGTGAGCTGTGACAGTCCAGCTGCCACCTGCCCGCTGCTCCCCCAGCAGAGGCACATGCCCTTCCACCCACTCCATTCTCTCACTTGACAGAGGCAACACCAGAGCCTCCCCTTCAGACACTGCCTTCCAGAACCACCTCTCTGGGCTCTGCTCTGACTCATGGTTTCTATTTTCAGGTCTCTGGTGAAAGCCTCATTCTCTTCTGTTTCTGTGCCTCCAGATTTCCTGCTCTTATTTTCAGTTTAATTCTATCCCCAGCCTTACTCTCTGGAGACCTCAAAATGTCACACTAGGCTAAGTGCGCACCTATAATCCTAGGTACTCAGGAGGCTAAAGGAAGAGGATCTCAAATTGAAGCTAACTTAGACAACTTAAACCTTTTCTCCAAAAAAAAGAGAGGCGGGTCCTAGGGATGTAGCTCAGCACTCCTTGGATTCAATCACCAGTATTAGAAACAAACAGGATGGGAAGAGCAGCAGCTGCACGGACAACCTTTTCTCAGCATGGCTCAGAGATTCCAGAGAGTCAAGTTCCCTATAGCAGCAATGATTTAGAGGTAAACAGAGGCCAGGGAGATAGCTCAGTAGAATAAGTGCTTGCCTGGCAAGCGCAAGGGCCTGAATTCAATCCCTGGTTCTGAAAAAAAAAAAAAAAAAGAGGTAAGCAAATTCAAGCGCATGGGCTGGAAAGAGACTAAGGTCAACCCACAGTGCTGGGTCTGGCCCCAGTGGAGACACTAGTCACCCAGTCTCGCTCAGGCACCCACAGAAAATACAGTTTGCTATCCCGGTAGGGACTACAGAAGAGGTACTAGATACAGATCAGCCCTGAGGAAGTGATGCCTTTTTTTTTTTTTTTTTTTGTCTTTTTGGGGGTCTTACTATGCAGTTCAAGCTGGCCTTGAGACTACTTTGTAGCCCTGGCTGGCCTTGAACTTGCAAGCATCCTCCTGCCTCAGCCTCCCAATTGCTGGGATTACCCATTACAGGCCACCACGCCTGGCTAGCCCTTCTTTTTTTTTTTTTTTTTAAGGAACCAGGGATTGTACTCAGGTCCTTGTGCTTGCCAGGGAAGCACTTATTCCACTGAGCCATCTCCCTGGCCCCCTGATTTATTTATTTTCCCCTCGATTTAACATGTGAAAAAGAATCGGTGCATAAAAGAGGCAGTATGTAATTATAAATGTCGATATGGGGCTGGGGAGATGGCTCAGTGGTCTAAAGCACCTACTTAGAACAAGCTTAGCAAAGCACAGGGACCGCTGTTCAATCCCCTAGCACCACATGCCAGCCAGCCCCGCCCCCTGGTGGGCTGAGCTGGCCACACACACACACAAATAAATAAATAAAATTTTTTTAAAAAATGTTGATATGATACAGAAAGAAATCTAAAAACAGATGCACTGCTTCCCTCTCACTTCCCTATTTCTATAAATGCTGCCATTTAAAAGCCCATTTTAGGGCCTGGCAAGCTTGAGGCCCCAAGGTCAATTCTTGTTAAAAAAAAAAATCCCATTTTTACCTCAACTTCCAGGCACTCAAATGTGAAACCCAATTTTTTTTTTTTTCTTTTTGAGGTACCGGGGATCAAACTTGGCAACTTGCGCTTGCCAGGCAGGCACTTAACCCCGCTGAGCTATTTCCTGGACCCCAACTGTTGATTACTTTCCTTTTTTCTTACCCATTTTTGTCAATCCTAGGTCTTTTCCAGTATCTTTCTGATTTTTTGTGACAAGATCACACTACAAGCACCTGCCTGGCAAGCACAGGGTCCTGAGTTCAAGTCCTGGTAGCAAAGAATAAATAAATAAATCACACTAACAAATCAGGCTGGTCTCAAACTGTGTAGCTCAGGCTGGCCTTTCAATATCTTTTTTTTTTTTTTTTTGGTGCAACTGGGGATTGAACTCAGGCCCTTGTGCTTGCCAGGCAAGCGCTTATTCTACTGAGCTATCTCCCCGGCCCCTCAATGTCTCTTTAATTTCTCTGCTACTCTACCTGTTTTAAATACCTGACTTCACAATTGGTTTTAACCCAGGCTGTGTTAGGACTCATGTTATGCAAAGCCCCTGAATCAATCTTTTCAACATGCCCATTTCATCAGGTAGAGGAATGGAAACCCGGTAACTAAAAACTGCAATTTCCACCTTTCCAGAGTTTGATGCTAAGCTCCTGCCTGGCAAGTGCAACGTCCTGAGTTCGATCCCTGGTACTATAAACGCGCGCGCACACACTCACATCCAGGACTGCTGAGCCAACTGTGTGCCCCAAACCAGCTGGCTCCCTCCACATCACTATCCAGTGTCGTCTAGCCAGTTTTCCCATTCTTTAACACTGTCTCCCTGGTACATCATTTTCCATTTTCCTAAAAACAAAACAAAACAAAAAAACTGTCTGCATTTTAACACACAGCTGCTGTTTTTTTTTTTTTTTTTTTTTTTTTTTTTCTTTTTTTACCTGAGTTCAGGCTGGCCTTGAGTTCATTTTGCAGCCAATTTTGTTTTGAACTTGCAAGGATCCTCCTGCTTCAGCCTCCCGAGTGCTGGGATTACAGGCGTGCACTACCACACCCGGCTGCTTTTTATTTTTTAGCCACACCAACATCACCTCCATCAAACTGAAGGTAAAGAATACTTGACCTTGGGGCTGGAGAGATGGCTCAGTGGTCTAAAGCACCTACTTGGAACAAGCTTGACAAAGCACAGGGACCGCAGTTCAATCCCCCAGCACCACATGCCAGCCAGCCCCGCCCCCTCGTGGACTGAGCTGGCCACACACACACACACAATAAATAAATGTTAAAATAAATAAATAAATAATTTAAAAAAAAAAAAAAGAAGAATATTTGACCATCCTAATTCCAGCAATACCTTCCGTAAGAGCGTCTCACTGAGCATCTCAATGCCTTCCGTAAGAGCGTCTCTCTGACTGGCTGGACTTCAAAAAGGCTGACGTCATCAAGGGATAGTTTTCTGGGAAGGAGAATCTGGGCTGTACCCCCACCCCCATACATACACCCTTTTGGTGATACTAGGATTCAACCCAGGGCCCCTCTCATGATAGATAAATGTTCCAATGCTGAGCTACATCCCCAGCAAGCTCAACCCCCAGTTTTAAACTTTGAGACAGCATGTTACTAGGTTTCCCAGGCTGGCCTCCAACTTTGCAGCCTTCAACGTGAACTGTTAATAATGAGACCCTATTTTAAATAAATAGCACTAATCATTGTTACTCTCCTTTTTTTTCCTTCAGAACCAGGGATTGAACTCAGGCCCTTGCACTTGCCAAGGAAGCACTTATTCTATTGAGCCATCTCCCGGGCCCCTCTCCTACTATCTTGTTTTGAAATTTATCATTGTGTTTGGTTTTTCTCTTTAAAATAAATAATAAACATCAGGGGGCTGGGGAGATAGCGCAGTAGAATAAGCGCTTCCCTGGCAAGCACAAGGGCCTGAGTTCAGTCCCTGGTTCCGAAAAAAAAAACAAAAAAAAAACCAATAGGACTTCTGTCTCAGAGGCAAAATGCAGGATGGGCCAAGCAGAGGATGTTGCAGTAATTCAGGCAAACCAGAGCATGACAAAGACCAAAGACTTCCACTAAGACGGTGCCGACCTCAAGCACTCATTCATTGAATGATACAATTCACACATCATTAAAACTATGTAAGTGAATAGAGAGCATAAGGATGGGAGAAATCCTAACACTGTCTTGATGTAAACCTAATGGAAAAAGGCCAAAGGCCAAAGCTCCCCATCTCTATTATTCCTCTTCCATTTTCAACTGTAACTCTAGCCTAAGCCTGTTAAGACTGTTTAGGTCACTTAAATTACTCCAGTATTCTACTGATACTTGTGAATCAAACCAATTCCATTGTGTTATATCCAGCTGGGTGGCTCAAGACAAGTAGTCTGAAGTCAGGATGATCTCTTTGAGAAATGGCAGAAGAAGGCGATTTGCGAGGATATTTGGCAAATGAAATTTTTCCCCTTGGGGACCAGGGATCGAACTTAGGACCTTCCACTTGCTCGCCAGGTAGGCGCTTCTGCGGCTGAGCTATCTCCCGCCCTGGCAAACCATTTTAATGAATGGCTGTGAGCACTTCGCACACATTGGTGGTCAGTTCCAAATAGCAGTCGACCACTCCTTTTGGGATGTGCTCCCCTTAGAGTCTACGATCAACCTCTTGAAGGGGAGCGTTTAAGAAAAGGTCAGGCAAGTGGAAGCAACAACCACCCCTCCAGGAGCCTGAGACTCCTCAATACTACGCAGTATCTAGGCGTCCTACCTGTCCGATTCCGTTTCCACTTAGAGGCCTCCAGGGAGTCAGCTCACTTACGAACCCTTTGGCGGAGTACTGCCTGCTAACAAGGTTAACCCTCGGTCCTTCATCCAGCTGCTGCAGCGCAGCGCTCTACCTACAGCTTTACACTGGCTCCCCCCGCTTTGAGCGTTCTTATTCAGACGTCCAGCCGCGTTCGTGTGAGATGTCTCAACATCGATTAAACAAACAATATAGAGCTCTATTATCGCTCTTTGGAAAATCACTTTCACTTCAAGCATTCTCCTTAGGCGAAGCAGCTAGTTCTCAAATACATGCCCACAATTCTACAGCCGCGAGGAGTGTGTGTGTACGTGAGGTCGGAAGCACCTATCGCTCCCGAAGCTTCAGCCCAAATCTGGAGCTTTTCCCCTCTGGGAAAGGAGCGCGGGCGTCCCGGAGTCAGAGCCCCAACACAGTCTCCCAGCGCGATGCCTGTCAGTCCTTAGACTTTGACTGTCGTTTTCCCCGGACCGGAGCCAGAGCTGCTGCTGCCGCAGCAGCGCGCGGAAAGGGGAGGATGCGCCGCGGGGAAGCGGCCCAGCTCGCAAAGGGGCGTGATCGCGGGATGCTCGCGGCGCCAGCGAGCCCGGCGCCAGCTGCCAGGCAGCACTACTGCAAAACCCGGGAAAGGAAATGGTGAGAAGCGGCGCAGCTCGCAGCTCGCGAACAGGCAGAAGCGGCCGCGGGTACTCACTCAGCCAGGATTCCAGGCTCTCTCCTTCTACCTCCGCCATACTGCAGCCGCCCGGGCCGACTTCGCGGCCTCAAACCTCGCGAGAGTGTGCACAGCCGATCCTGGGCGGGGCCTGCATGGGGGCCTGAGAGGAGCGAGAGCCGCAACCCAGGGTTGCGCCAGGCTGGGACGGATGCGGGCCGGGCGAGTGCTTCTTTTTAGAGTTTCCTTCTGGACCCCGTGGTGAAAGACTCTAGCGCCCAGGTCAATGGCGTGAAATACAAGTTTAGGGCCCGTGGAGTCCTGCACCAGTCTCCTCGCGCAGGCGCGCCGAGGGCAGTTCTGGTGGGGTCCTCGTAGCCGCCCAAGATGGCTGCCTCCGCGCTGAAGGCTGTGCGATCCTGGGAGGGCCTGGCCCCGGGGGTCACCTGCGTTGTGTGGCGTGTTCCAGGGTGAGAGGAGGCGAGCTGCTGGGAGCGCTGCTTGCGTCTTCAGAAGGAGCCTGCGGGGAAGGGAGGGAGCCGCAGGCAGTCGCGCTGGACCCTGGAGGTGGCACTCCAGGGGGCCGAGATAGATACCCGAATTCAAATCTCTTAAGTTAGCTGCGTGATCTTGGGCCAGTGTGTAAGCTTAGTGACTGCCCAAGTCTTATCTAGGCTGAAATTTCAGCCCTGCTAAACAGCTCAGAGTGGAACTGTCTGGGCGTTGCGAGTTGGGGAGGAGACATGCTTTGGCGGGGAGCCTGCCTTTACGTCAACACTTGAAGAAGGCTTTGCCGGCCCATTGGAGGGAAGCCCTCCTACCTCTTGGGACAGAAGCCAGAATTTTTGCGGTTCAGGTTTAGTTTGCAATCTCCGCCGTGCCCTCCCTTTTTGACGGGCTGGTGATCGTGCCTATTGTGAAGTCAGGCTTATTATTCATTTGTGGAGTCAGCTTTTCCCTCCGCCTCTTTCCCCCTCTCAGGCTAACCCAGGTGCGGTGGAGCCGCTATAGTCCGGCCTTCAGGGATCCTTTAGTTGATAAAGAACATTACCGCAAGTCCGTGGCCGAGCTCACCGAGGAGGAGAAATACGAGCAGGAGCTCAAGAAGACGCAGCTCATCAAAGCAGCCCCAGCGACGACGACATGCTCCGTGTTTGCAGACCCAGTGATCAGGTTAGAGGAAAACGCACTTGTTCCGCGGACGGGGACGTTCGGTACGGACTCCATGGTAGAGGCTTAGGAACTAAACATGTTGTTTTTCTCCTTGAAGTAAATTCACCAACATGATGATGAAAGGCGGAAATAAAATCCTGGCCAGATCCCTCGTAACCCAGGTAACCAGCTCCTCCACCTCTCTTACCTTTCTTTTCCCTCTAGCTTTGTACTATGCTTGGTTCTTTTAGTTTAGCCTAAAAATTAGAGGAAGGGTAGGTAGGGAGGTACCTCATAGCACACCTGTAACCGCCGCACAGTGTGGGGCTGAGCCGGGAGGATTTCAAGTTAAGGCCAACCTGAGCAATTTACTGCGACCTTGTCTCAAAAGTAAAAATGGTGCCAGGAAGGTAGCTCAGTGATGTAAGTGTCAGCTTGGCAAGAGCAAGGTCCTGAGTTCCATCCCTGGTATGAAAAAAAAAAGTAAAAAGTGCTGAGCTCAGTACTATCAAATAATATAATAATAATGATGATTATAATAGTAATAATAAATTCATAGGCCTGTCCTTAAAATAACTTTCCTATATGTGTGGCCATTTGTCTAGGCGCGCTGAGACGACATGGTGGCATGTGCCTGTAATCCCAGCTCTTGGGAGGCTGAACACAGGTGGATCACTACGAGTCTGATCTACATAGAGAGACCCTGTAGATCCTGTACTAAATATAAAAAAAAAAAGCAGGGGAAGCACTTGACTTTGTCTTGCATGTGCTGAGGGAGGGGCTGCACTGCTGTAGAAGAATTGGATAATGGAAATAAAAGAGCAGGATGCTAGCGAGCTGAATAAGCTCTTAAGGCAGCCAGGTGCAATCTCGAACTGTCTCTCTTTGCAGACTCTGGAAGCTGTGAAAAGGAAACAGTTTGAGAAATACCATGCTGCTTCTGCAGAGGAACAAGCAACCATTGAACGCAACCCCTACGTCATCTTCCACCAAGCCCTGAAAAACTGTGAGCCTGTGATTGGCCTCATACCCATCCTCAAGGGTGGCCATTTCTACCAGGTGAGTGACGTGGTGAGAAAGTGCTCATCACGTGACACAAGACAGGTGGGAGGCCTCAGTTGATGGCTCTCTACACGCTGAGGACTTATTTGGGACCTTTGGTATAAAACTCCCATCTTCTTCTTTTTTTTTTTTTTCCAGAACCGGGGATTGAACTCAGACCCTTGCGCTTGCCAGGCAAGCACTTATTCTACTGAGCCGTCTCCCCAGCCCTAAATTTGAACTTTTTTTTTTTTTTTTTTTAAACTCCCATCTTCTGGCCAAGTTTAGTGTTGTACACCTGTAATCCCAACAGTTAGGAGGCTTGAGGCAAGAGGATTGGCTTCAACTTTGAGGTCCACCTATGTTAACTGGTCAATTTAAGGCCAGTCTGAACTGCATAGAGAGACCCTGTCTCAAAAACAGGAAGAATCCTATTTTCTAAGAGCCCACTTTTTCTCTGCATCGTCCTGTACTCTAAAATGTAAACTTTCAGGCAAGCGCAAGGTCGTCAGTTCAATTATTGGTACCAAAAAAACACAAAACAAACAAACTGTCAACATCTTATAGGAAGACATGGGGTATCCGAGATGGGTATCCCGGATCGCTACACCAGGGCTAACATAGTGCCTGGCCCATAACTGCTGGTTCATCAGTGTTGAACTTACCTAGGCATCTGTGATGCATTTATTTTTCATTTTTTATTCTAAGTAGACTTCCTTGGTGTCTCCCTTTTTAGTGTAAACTTCGTAAGAGTAAGAATTTTCTTACTGTCTGCACCTTTATTGTCTAACATGGAACTTGGCATGTAGTGCGGGCAAGTGACTCTTGTAGTTTTTAGGCATCCTTTGTCTGAGGTGGTGAAATCACCCTCGTAGGAGGATTTTTGCAGTTGCTGCTTGTATCAACTTGGCAAAGCTTCCATTTAAGAGAGAAAGAGGCCAGTGCTTAATGAGGTTTACCAAGTGAATGTCCTTTGTGTTTACTACTCTGAGGTCACCCAGAAATGGAAGAAGCTCAGAGCAGAAAAGACAGGCCCCTTTCCTTAGGAACCTTACGGCTGGTCCACAGGGAATACAGGGTGACTTGTTAGGGCAGGAGAGGCAGGAGGCCCTAGCCATGGTGGGCCCTCGGATTAACTGGCCTGTGTCCTGTCTCTTCTCCCAGGTCCCTGTGCCCCTGCCTGACCGACGTCGCCGCTTCCTGGCCATGAAGTGGATGATTACTGAGTGCCGAGAGAATAAGCACCGGCGGACACTGATGCCAGAGAAGTTGTCACATGAGCTGCTGCAGGCTTTTCACAATCAGGGCCCCGTGATCAAGAGGAAGCAGGACATGCACAAGATGGCTGAGGCCAACCGTGCTCTGGCCCACTACCGCTGGTGGTAGAGGAAAAGGGGCAGCTTTGAAAGAAGCCCAAGGCTCTGTATCTCTCTGAAATGGACTGGGTGTTAAGGATGGAGCTCCTTTTTGAGAATGATGGAGACGCATGTTTATTGTCCATTTACCCTTTTTCACTGGAGTTAGAACTGGCTCTCTGTGTCCTGTCGCCTTGTAAAGAGGAAACTTGGGAATTTTCCCTGGGAACCTCAGGGCCTAGTCTTCCCTTTCCTTGGCTCAGGACAGACCTTTGGATGCAAAAGGAAGATACTGTAGTAGCAGAAGATTTATTAGAAAGCCCTCTCCCTGATACAGAAGTACCATCGATTCAAACTCATTGGAGGAAATGGGCTTCTCTCCACAGTGGTCCTTATAAAAAATGTAGAAAAAGCAGTTGCTGTGGTAATTTGTGCTCTCCCACTGCCCTCAGTATCTTGAGACAACCAGTGGCTGTGGTTGCCCCTTTTATAGATGGAAACTGAGGCAACAGGTACTGTTACACCAATGGTTGTACGGTGTGGTGGGCATCAGGCATTGCCCTTCTCTGTGTGGTCCTGATGCGTGGTGGTAGAAGCTGATAGGACTTGGGAAAGAGGGGACAGACGTGTGCCTGGGGGGCGAGTCTTTGGTATTTCCCCAACAGCCAGGTGGGGGCAGAACCACAGTGCAGTTGGGAAGGTCTGCGAGCCTAGTAGGGAAAGCCTTTGGGAGAGGCAGAGACGTCCCTGCCGGCTTGGAAGGAGGGCTGAGGAGAGACCAGTGTTACAGGGAGCAAGTGCCAAGCTGGAACTAGTCAGAGACTTCACTGTAGTAATACTTGTGGGCAGCAGGGGTGGTCTTCCAGCCAGCAGCCCGGAACTCAATAATCTCTAGCAGCAGCAGCTGGGCCAGGGAGCTGAGCCCCGTTGGGAGCAGGAAGCCATCCCGGATCAGGACAAAGAGCTCATCCATGCGCTGTCCATTCATCTTCTCCAGCTGTTCCCCAACCCGGTGCAGCTGCAGCACCAGGCAGTCTACCTGCGGGGGCAACGGGGAGACCCCAGGTCAGCCCTGGCAGGGCCAGCCTATTGCTTGTAACGTGGGAGTGACGAGTGCTTGCCCTTCATGCTCATTTCATCCTCGTCCTCCAATCACTTCCCCACATCTACATAAAGGAACACAAGTTCAGAGACTCGCCTAGAACGTCTGGCCAGGCATGTCTCAAACTGCTAACCCCACGTTGCTGGCTCCCCATCGCTGCCTGACGTGGGTTTGGTTTCTAGGCCATTTTTTTTGCACCCAAAGCTGGCTGTGGTCTTGCTATCATTGCTTGGCTTTCCTACCCAGAAGGAAGCTGCTGTGACAGTTTTGCCTGCTGTCTGTTCCAGACTCAGCTGCTTGTCTTATAACTGGCCTGACCGGCCTTCAATGCACCCCCCACTCCCACTCTTGCCCAGAAGTGATGCCCTTCAAGGCCTCTGCTCAGCTGAGCCCAACTGCTGCCACCTCCACAGCCGTCTGCTCCTAGGCCACCTACCTCCTCCTCCTCATTCAGACTGTCTGGCTGGGCCAGCCGGAAGAGGCAGTCATAGACGGGATTCACCAGGGCCATCATGGGCATGTTGTTCACCTGTTTGGGGAAGGGGAAGAGAAGCCAGGGTGGCAGTGCTGGTGGCCATGGAAAGCAGTGCAGCATGGCCCTTGGCATAGAGGCCATCGCCCCCCAGGGTGGCTGTCTGGGGCCTCACCCTTAGGTAGTCAAAGATGTTGCAGATAAAGGTGACATAGCAGACCCAGCCCTGCAGGGAGCGTGCTCGCAACTGCTCCCGGGTCTGGTACTCCTGCTGCAGCCGGTTGAGGAGTCCACGGCGGAAAACACTCTGGCCTGCTTGCTTACTCTCTGCCTGTGCGTCGGGGAGACAGTAGTGAGGGCGAGGGGGTGGTGCCAACACTGGCCCACCTGTCCTACTCTTCTCCCTGCCCTTTGCATCTCTGTCCTGCTAGCTGGCCTCTGCCCACTCGAGGCGCCTTCCACAGAGCAGCTCCCTGTCTTCTGCCAACCCCCCAACCTGAATGATGGCGTAGCACATGCGTCCTGCTTCCTTGCTGAACACACGGTCCTGCAGAGAATGGTCCACAATCACATTGGCCACTTTCTCCAAGTCCACAGCGCCTGGATCTAGGGTAGAGATAGGAGGGGAATCTAGAACTGCCTGCTGATCACATTTGCCTTCACCTGCTTCCAGAGGGATCTGGGATGTTCACAGTAGTGCACTCCCACTATATGCTTAAATTTAGAGTCGAAAGGGATGTAACTCAGTGGTAGCATGTCCTTGCCTGGCATGGACAAGGCCCTGGATTTGACGCCTGAAACTGCAAGAAAAAAGAGGTAAACTTTACAGAGAAGTGGGGCATGGTAAAGCAGGGCTGTAATCCCAGCATCTGGGAGGCTGAGGCAGGAGGATTGCAAGTTTGAGCCCAACCTGGGCAACTCAGCAATTTAGGAAGACCCTATCTCAAAAAAAAAAAAAACAGAAAAAAACAACATTCAACTGGGTATGTAATTCATTGTGAAGACTCTAGGTCCAGACTCCAGTACCGAAAGACAACACAAAACCCTAGAACAAAGGCACAGTAACTACTGGTATAGATGAGCAGCTCCAACCGTCACTGTCCAGTTGCTAAATAGAGAAACCAGGGATGGTTATGTGGCTGGGAGTGGCCAAAGCACAGTGTATTTTATTTTTTGCGGAACCGAGGATTGAACTCAGGCGCTTGCACTTGCCATGGAAGCGCTTATTCCACTGAGCCATCTCCCCGGCCCCAACAGTGTATTTTATTATGTCGCACATCTGGCACTGGGTTGAGGAAGGAACACTGAACCCTGAGTCTTCCACAGAAATTTCACAGAATAGGGTTCCTGTAACAGGCATAATGCCAAATTTCAAAAGAGCAGACTGCAGTGCCTCCCCCACAGGCGGAGCCCTGCACTTGGGGGCTTGCTCATTGTTAGCCAGGTCAAACTTCTGTCCTGAGTGCAGCAGGAAGCCACTGGTCCAGAGCAATTACATATCTCCTCTGCCAAGCCACTTTCTCCCTCCTCTTTCCCAAGGCAGGGCGCAGCACACATTTAAGAGATACAGAAACCAGCAAGTGAAACGTTAAGGTTTAAAGGGTAGGAGCTATGTACTCTTTCATGAGTACTTTTAAAAAGGCTTTACCGTGGGAGAGATGACTTTGTGATTCATCCTCCCAAATATTGACCTAAAGGTAGCTCGTCTTTCCAGTGCAGGCATTAGCCTGTGACTTGTATTCTCAGGAGGTGAAGGGGGAAGAGGGCTTGTGTACTCCTTCAGCTCCTGCCTGGCTCCCGAGGCTTCCCCGGCTCACCTTTGAGGGCCGTTTTCAGCAGCTGCTGGGTCTCTGCATCAAAAGACTGGATTTTATACTCTTCTCTACCGGTCTCCCCCATGACCACTCAGCCCCAGCAGCTCTTCACTGGTCTGGGACTAAGGACAGCACCTGAGGAAGAGAGGAGGAGAAGCCTGAGAAGTGCAGCACGTGGCCGCAAGTTCCCAGTCCTGCCAGCCAGCGCTCAGGACGGGTGCACAGGTCCACGGCATTCGGCGGGTGGCTGACAGCCCGCTGAACTTGGCTTCTGGTGGAGCTGGAGGCACCTGCTTCTCGGCTTAGGAAACCCCAGACGTTTGGGGTAAGACCTAGGACGACGGCGAATGCACCTACCCGCGGGTCCCAGCAGGAGGCAGGGTGTTGTCAGTCGCTGTCAGGTAGATTTGGGGGCAGGGTTCGTGGAGCTGGAGGTGCGGACTTTCCTATACAAATCGGCCTGGAAGCTGCTGTCTCAGCTAGATTCCGGGCCAGGGACAGGCCGAAGGCTTCCAGCTGCGGGCCGACGCACGCAGCAGGAGTCTCAGCCCTCGCTCCCACCTTCTCCTCCAGCTTTCGGTCCACACACCCCACCCCCGCGGCCTGCGCGGGCGGGTGTCGGAGCCGGGTCAGCCGCCGCTGTCGCTCGGAGTCGGGACTCCTACTGTCCCAGCCAGCTTCGACTGGTTAAACTGGGCTCCCGCGAGGCAGAAACCCGGCCCTGCCCACTCGGGACTCCCAATTTCTGAGCTGCATTCTGGATCTTTTTCCTTAAAGGTTGTAGTTCCCCTCGGGACTCGGCGCCCTTCCTCCGGCCAGAGAATGTGACCCTAGGGGTCCTTACACCGCAGCAGCCTCCCCACGCCCAGCACGCCCTTCCCGCCTGCGCGAGGCCCGCGGCGGAGGCCGCCGTGAGGAAGCCCACAGCCGACAACCGCAGAGGCGGAGAGGCGGCGAGAGCGCCCGGCCCCACCCGCCGGGCGGGCTCCAGCGCGTGTGCCCGGGTTACGGCGCGCGCCCGTGAGCGGGGCCACTAAGCGCGGCGCCCGGCGGACTGGGGAGCTAGCGCCCCCTGGCGGGCAGAGCCGCCCTCGTGTTCCGTCCGCCCCGCGGGGGAGGTAGGACGTAGGGCCGAGATGGGGGCGGCGCGAAAGTTGGGGAACACTGCCACCACCGTGGGGAGACGCTCGCCCCACGCCGGTCCCCTCCTCACCCGGGGCGCTCTGACCCTGGCCAGGACCACGACGGCTCGGGTGCACCTGGGCGGACCCGCGCCTCGGTCCCCATGATATCCTTGGTCTTGCACGGTGCCCACCCCGTCACTAATTCCGAGGCGGAGCTCAGGTGACCGAGGTCGAGGAGACTCACCAGGCCGCATGGCGCGGGAGGAGCTCTGGAGGGCGTGGGCCGAGCGCCTCAGGCGTTGGGACTGGGGCCGGCGGACAGTGCTCGGGCAGCATTCACCGGCCAGCCCTGCCGCATCCGCGCCCCCACCCAGGCTAGGGAAGGCGAAGGGGGCTGGGGCGAGCCCCACCTACTCGCCCTTCTGCTCCACTGCCCTGGCGAGTTTCAAATCCAAGGGCCAGGCTATGGCTTAGTGGGTGGCTCGGGTGGGGTGGGGTAGTGAGCTTTGCCGCTGTCCACCTCCAGCTCAAGACCAAGTCCTGATGGTGGAGTCGCGTGGCAAACATTCTCTCCTCCGGTTCAAGAGCTGCCAAAGTGGTCACAGTTCTCTTGTCCATTATTTCTGGACATTTCCACTGTGACAGGAGAAGAGCATAAACTTGAGTGGAATTCCATAAAAATACATTCAGTCGTGGATTGCGAATATAGCTCAGTAGTGGAGCGTTTGCCGCCCACGCTAAGATTCAGGGTTCAATGCCCAGCGCTGCAACAAAACTCAAGCAGTTGTCCAGGCCTCCTATGCCAAGCCCCTGGGTGTGCTTCCGAGTGCCCTCCAGCTGCCACCTGGGACCTTCAGGTGCGCACTCAGTGGGGGGGAGGAGCATCCACACGCTGGGGTGGCTACGGGCAGATGCTGCTCCCCTCGAGGCAGAGGCCGGAGCGCTAGGACAGGGCAGGGTAACCACCCCCGCCAAGCCTACAACCACACACGGGGCAGGAAGACTCCATATTCCTTTCTTTCGTAGCCCTGTAACCCGTTTCTCTTCTGCATCTTGACATATGTGTGGGCCCCTGGGTTCTAATGATCCCGTGTGCCAACTGTGCCCTTGCCAGGCTGTCTGTCCTTCAGCTGCTTCAGGGCCATGGCCACTCCAGGGTCACAGAGGACACATGCAGAGCCAAGCTGGGCCTTGGAGGAGTCTGAATGGGCAGACACCAGCTGGCTGGCTGAGCTCCCCACCCTCGAAGGGCTTATTCAGCACCTAGTGAACAGGGAGCTATCCAGGGCAAAGGGCTGCGCCTTGGTCCCTTCCTGCTCTTCAGCACCTGCGCTCGGACCAGATCCATCCCGGGAGGCTTGGCCTGGTGCACCACCCTTTACAGACTCATAGCCCCAGGGCCTGGACAGCTCAGAAGCCGGGGACTCAGCTGGGACCCGCTCCCCTCCAGATCTCAGAAAGGGGCTGCAAGTGCTGAACCAAGTAGAATTTGAGGAAGGCAGGGTCCCTTCCCTCATCCTCTTGGCAAGGATGTGGGGGGTACAGGAAAGAGGTCAGGCTTGGTGGCTCATGCCTGTCATCTGAGCACTCAGGAGGCTGAAGCAGGAGGATAGCCTCAAATTCAAGGATAGCCTGGATTACATAGTGAGACCTTGTCTCAAAAAAACAAAGCAAAAGGTGGAAGAGTAATATAGGGAATGTGTCTTCTGCTTTAATGTCTGTTGAATAAGTTGATAGAAAAAAGCTCAAGTGTGAAGACCAGACCTCTGCAACGAGCCCAAGCCCAGCCTTCTGCCCTGGAGCCTCAGCCTCTTCCAGAACTTCGAGAGTTCTCCCAGCAGACTGGCTACGAAGGGAGGGATGACACCCGATCCTTCTGGGCGTGGGATGGGCAGAGGAGAAAGGACTGCAAGCTGCTGCCCACTGGCGCTGGTCCCACAGCCGAGTCCTGGGTACTGTTGTTCTTATGTGGAGAAAGTCCCTGCTCTCCGGTGGTGTCCCAGCTGACAGGTCAAGGTTGCCACCCTGCTCCCTACGATACCTGTTGCTCACGACACCCCTCCCGGTGCTCAGTGCTGGGGCCAGGCAGCATTTCTCAGTGCAACAGGAGCTCCAAGGCCAAGTCTTGCTTCTTTTGGGAGATGGCCTCCAGGCAGGTGCTTATGCACTGAGCAGATCCCAGGCCCTCTTCCTCCCGTTCTCAAAGCTAGCTGCTCTCCTTCTTCATGCAGTGGAAAAGGTTACAGAAAAACTCATACCAGAAAAACACAAAGCCTGTGGAGAGGGCAGCCTTTAGCAGGCTTGGGGACAGACCCTTGAAGAAGCCGTGGGTGCCTTCTTCGTGCAGCACCTGCTTGGTGCAATCCAGGAGGCCCCTGTAGCTCCGCACCTGGGGAGAGGAAGGTCACGTTGAAGAGCAAGTTGGTGAACACAGGGATGCACCTGCATATCACAGCTCCTGGCAAATACCTGCCAGGTGGAGGAAAGAACACGAAATAGACGCTTTCATTCTGTCTATTCCAAGTGGGCTAAGTCAGCCTTCACAGATGAAATACCAGGAAGTCAGCAGCTGGACAGAGCTCCTTGCTGCTGAGGAGGCCTGGGATTGCTGTGGCTCTGCAGGACCCAAGGGCCATGCCGGATCCCTCTCTCCGAAGTGTTCTGGATTCTTTATTCCATTCAACCTCATTCTCCCAGGCAGCTCTGAACCTCACTCTTGCTAACTCAGTGTGACCAGTGCTGGACCTGCAGCCTGGCCTCCCTGCCTCCCTTCATCACAAACGACTGCCAGACCCATGTCCCTCCAGTGCCTTGCTCCCCTGTGAAAGCTCCAGTGACCCTTGATGGTGACATCACAGAATCAAGGCCAAGTTCTCTGGCCTGGTGTTTGAGGCACTCCACTATTTGGCCTCAACCTCTCTCCATGACCCTGGCTCCCACTGGTCCTTCCCTGAGCCTCCTCTGTTGGCCCCAATTGAGGGCCAAACTAGCATCCCAGTCTTCCTTAAGAGCAGGGCTTCCTTTGCTGGGTGTGGTGGTGCACTCTGTAAGCTGAGGCAGGAAGATCACCATGAGTTCAAGACCAGCCAGGGCTATATACTGAGTTCAAGATCAGGTTGGACTATACAGTGAGACTCTGTCTCAAAAAAAGTCAAACAAAAACAAAAACAAACAAAAAAAGAGCAGGGTCTTGTTCTTCCATGCTGGATGCTGTCCCTGATCTAAATTCAAACTGTCTTCAGGGCAAGTGGGTAAATGGAAAGAGGAAGTTACAAAGCCTTGCATTTAGGCTGGGGAGATAGCTTGGCCATCTAAGTGCCCAAAGACTCGGGTTCGATCCCTAGTACCGCATGCAGTGCAGGCCCCAGAGCCCCGCGTGTGCCACGGCAACCACCACAACTGGGTGTGGTGATGCACATCTGTAATTTCAGAGCTCAGGAGGCTGAGACAGGAGGATCACTAGAGTCCACGCTGCATAGTGGAGACCTTGTACCAAAAATAAAATAAAAGCCTTGCATTTGGTGTAACCTCATACTTTTTAAATTTTTTTATTTTTTAATTTTTACATTTTATTGATAAGATATGAGGAGACATACAAAAATACAAACAAATAGTTGCTTAATTGCTTTGTATGTTTTGATTTCCCAGGAGTCACACTGGTTTCTAACCAATGAAGTCCATTTAATTAGTTTTTTTGCCCTGTTGGTTCTAGAAAGACTTTTGCCTCCCAAATGGAATGTATCAGGCAATAATCAGTTGACTTTCTTTTCCACTTTTACTCTCAAATATGTAAACATCTGGAGCCAGACATGGTGGTACATCCCTGAAATCCCAGCACTTGGGAGCCTGAGACTGAAGGATCACTAGGAAGTTCAAGGCCAGCCTAGTCTACATAATGAGTTCAAGCCCAGCCTGAACTGCACAGCAAGGCCCTCTCTTAAAAAAAAAAAAGAGTAAGATGTAAACAGTCAATAATCAGAGTTGTTGAGGCCAGGGAGATGGCTCAGTGGAATAAGCGCTTCCCTGGCAAGCGCAAGGGCCTGAGTTCAATCCCTGATTCCGACCAAAAAAAAAAAAAAGGAATAATCAGAGTTGTTGATCTTTTTGAATTTACTATTAAAACATTAGCTTCTTTGGGGACCCCATACTTTTTAAAATGTATATCTGTGTTTACGCAAAGAAAGAAAACTGGAGCGAACAGGCCAGGCCTGTAGAGGCCAGTGCTGCCCACTGGTCAGGGGCTGGGTGTGGCTCCCTCCATGTGCCCAGTGAGGGCCCGAGCCATAGCTGTTTGTGCACAGCGGCATGGTGGCTCACCTGGCCGAAGGCAGCCCTGGCATGCTCAAACCCGCCAACCTGAAGCCGTTTCTTAAAGAGGTCCAGGGGATACGTAAGGGTCTTGCTGATGAGTCCAGCGCCAGAGCCACAGAGCAGGTTTTTCAGGTTTCCTGAACCAGAGAAGCAAGATTGGGGTAAGAGTGGGATAAGGCAATTAAGGATGATGTCAAGGTCATTAGGGCTAATTCTCCAACAAACCTGAGCCCCATAAGCATCCTGGGATCTCAAGGGGGAGCTTAAGAGCTCAGTGCAGTGTTGCAGTCCTGTCATCCCAGCAGAGGGGAGGCTGAGGCAGGAGGGATCTTGGAAAACCAGCTTGGGCTACACAGTGAGTTCAAGGCCAGCCTGAACTACACGGTGAAACGCTGCCTCAAAAAAAAGAGGGGAGGGGCTGGGGAGATGGCTCAGTGGAATAAGCGCTTCCCTGGCAAGCACAAGGGCCTTGGTTCTGAAAAAAAAAAAAAAAAAAAAAAAAAAAAAAAAAAAAAGGAGGGGAACTTAAGCTCCCTGGCAGCATGAGCAATAACTGACTGCAGGCTGGGCGGGGCAGGGCAGCAGGGCGAGTCTATGCAACAGCCTCCCAGCTGGAGGCCACAGGGCCAGCAGGCAAGCCAGAAGATTCAGATCCATGCTGGAAAAGGAAAAATATGTTCCTCCTTGCCAGGCAACAGCAAACCAATAAACCAAAACCAATAGGCAGTTTATAAGTTGTGTTTCTGAGAAAAAAAACCCTGGGCCAATCACCAGAAATACATTTCGGTGACACTGATGACAGGTGTGGAAAGAGTTGGGCGAAACAAATTCACCTCTATGCTGCTGGGCTTGCACATTTGGTTGGCTGTGCCACAGGGCCAGGTACAGAGAACAGCGGTGCCTGAGCCTTTCCTGACTCAGGGAGAGACGCGCGTGGCCGGGATGACGGCTTGTGGAGTGGCTCACCCGTCTGCTTCCCATCGGCCGGGATGGCCCAGTCGTAGGCGCGCTTCAAGGACTTGTAACAGGAGAACTGCAGCCCAGCGTAGGGGAAGATGGCAATCAAGGTGGGCGCCAAGCCTTTGTAGAAGACCAGGGGTCCCTCAGTCCTATACATGGTCACCACGGCGTCTTGCAGGGTCTTATAGACCTGGACAAACACACAGGCCCTGTGAGGGAGCTCAGCGAGGCAGGAGGAGTCCTGCACTAGCCCACATACCTCTCTCCTCGCATCTAAAAACACAGCCAACAGGACCAGAATTTTTCCTGCCATGAGGATGAGCCAGGAAAACACTGGACAGAAATGCAAAGGCTGGGGCTTCTGGCAGCTCTCCATTCTAGACCCTGACATGACTGTTACGTGTGTGCAGCGTTGGCGAGGCGGATGTGGTGCAGGGAGGATGCGGGGAAGGTGGGGCTGGAGGACCACAAGTTTGAGCCCAGCCTGGAGAAGGTAGTGGCTTAGTGAGACCCTGCTCAAAACAATAACAAAAAAACCTAAACAACAATAAAAAAAAAAAAA